CATATAACAAACAAGTAGAGGTTACATCCTCATGCTATCTTCCTGTGCCTCCACACAAGTTCCTCTCTCTACAAATGAAATTTCTGTCGGTAGCGAGAAGGTGTGTATTACTTACATATTCTCTGTATTTTTATTTCATTTTTTATTGCCTATGTTATTCAATTTTTTTATTTCACATGTTATCTTGTCTATCTCATCCTGACTTTCTACTGTTGTGAATTTACCTGGCGTGGGATCACTTAGGTACTTGAAAAAAAACTGTGATTATTGCGACAGAAAAGGCTTTGGTGAATACGTGACATCCTCTTCGTTGTCGTTATAAAAAATTGTTTTGCATTATACATCCCTCATATTTGTGGGAACATATTTGTTTGTTGCACTGGTAGTTCCTGTAGTAATACTTCCCCCCACGTCATACTTTTTATTTGCGGTTTACACTGTTTGGTCTATCGTAATTTATTTCCGTTTTTTTTTATTTATTTCTTTGTGCGTGTCTTAATCACTTTTATTTTCTTGTTCTTCCTTTTTTTCTGACAAGGTGTTTTTTTTAGCAGTCACGGACAGAAACATGTTTATACAATATACTTATACTGTAATTACATTGTTTTATGAATACACCATTTGCCATCCACTACACGAATAAGGCTTTTTTTCAACGGAACATACACAAAACATGCAAAATATACAAACCCCCACAAAAAGGGATTTCATTTCATTTCAGTTTCTTTGCTGTCATTTTTTTTTTACATCAAACATACAAACAATTATTTATTAAAGGTCCCAATTTGACCACCCGGAAAGAGACGATTAACCACCGAACAAACCCAGTCTGCATCAAGCAACAAGAGCAAACCATGTGTGGGTGACTCACGCCCTGTTCCTTGTGACGATGTGACAGGAGTGTGAGCGGGTGTTTACCTGCATCACAGCGGGGAGCCGTCAACGTGGCGCAGAGAAATAACACGGTGAAAAGTCCCGGAGGCACCGTCATGTTCGTCCTCTCGCGTCTGTCCGGCCGGTGGTCGGTTCAACTCCCTCCCTGCCCGTATATTCCTTCTTTTCCCACTAAACGAAATATTCACGTGGCTGTGTTTAAGAGGTGAGCAGAGGCAGAGAGACGTCGGATCGACGAGAAGACATAAAAACAAATGACGGAGGAGAACGCATCAGAGATTACTAACGAGCGCACTTCAGTAAAGTGTGTGTGTGCGTGTGTGTGTGGTCTCCGGTCTCTACCGGGAAGCACCGGCGGGGCGGAGTTAGTGTCGGAGTGGGTGGGAAGCCTCCTCTGGAGCTCGTGGGAATGATTACACTGAGTCTAGTTCTGCACCAGGAGCCTGTGGGCGGTACCGGGGGGGGGTGTTTACTTCCAATAAACCCTACCTGCTCCCACCCATGAACTCCTCCAGGAAGTAGTCAAGACCGAAATGAGGGCGTGCGTCGTGGAAACGGATTGATCGATGTCATAATGGCGTTATATGGCAGTAACAACAGAGTCGACCAAAGCCCAAGTCAATGTGAAATGATGGAGACTTCAACTCCTTCTTCCTTAAAAAAAAAGATTTTTCTTTTATCTGTTTTTATTGCATTCCTGAATACGATCTGGCTCTTCTTAACTTTGCCCTTTCTGTGTTTCTGTAGAAATTGATTATTAGGATTTTTCTCAATCCGCAGGCTCAACTGCTATCCAAGGTTTTATTAAGAAGAGGCTTCGCTAAGTGTGTTTGCACTTGTGTGGTTTGCCAATATTCATCACAAATCTATTACATAAATGATATTATTACCAAAAGATTCTCTGAATATACAATGCAATTAAGTCACTTTTAAACTATGCAAACTCCTTGAGAGCAGCTGTATTGCACAGTATTCAAACTTTACAGGCTTTCATTACAAAAACAGGATGTACAGTATCACTTGGCCCAATGCTTCAGTATAACCAGCAGCTCTAAAGACATGCCCGATCGGTTCATAAGTTTCTGCCAGCCTACTTAGCATGCAGCAAAGGGCTATAAAACTAACCCTTATCTTGACTGACTTGGAGTAGGATGTGTAACAGTAGAACCAGTTGAGCAGGAAATATTGATCATCCTTTAACAGAGACAAAGAAAGAAAAAGGTTGTAAACATCTGTAATGAAAACAATAGTTAAACCTGCAAGGCAGAAGAAGGAAGTGGAATGCTACCTCACCTGTCTCTGCAAACACCTCAACCATACTTGCTGTAGCAATGGAAAATTCACATATGAACTCGAACTCTTTCCTACGTCTGATCAATGCTTGTGTGCTGTGTTCATCAATAACTCCTCATATAGAAACAGTTATGCTCCCATGGGAGGAACTGTCTGGCGTACAGGCAGACAGACGATTCAAAACTACACAGATACCTTTTTTCTTTTTTACCTTTAACTAACAAATGCCCTGATTGTTGCTATGCATTTGCATATATAACCTCAGAGTTCATGCCCTTACAAGAGTCTCTTGTTAACCTGATCTGTGTAGCTAGCAAACTTCTTTTTCATGCAGAAGCAAGAGCAGAGTTTCCTATGTCAACCAGACTACAGGTGGCTTCAGTGTTTATGCTCTTATTCAGTAACAGTTGTCTCTTATGTTTCCTGTTTACCTGACTGTATAAAAACCTTCTTCTTGCCCTATTCGAGGTCCACTCTGAGCATTCATGCTGAGTGTGCAACCCTCTGCAGAGCTTTCTATTAAAGACCCAAAGACAACTCTGGTCTGAGAAACTCTTGACAGAGATCATGCGCCATTCTGAACATGCTGAGCATCAATAGAAGGAACAAAGTCCAGATTGTGATGGTTTTCTGGAAGCTGGTGAAAGGAAAACTCAGGCAGCAGCTGATGTCTCTGCAGCTTGTCCAAAATGCTGCAGTGTGTACAACAACCAGGAGATCACATTTCTCCTGTATTAGCTTTACTAAGCTGGCTTCCGGTTAAATTGAGAATAGAACTTTAAATTCTCCTCCTCACCAACAAGGCCCTCAATAATTCGGGACACAGAGACCTCTCTACATTTAAAAGTCGGTGTAAAACCTTCCTTTTTGATAAAGCTGGCTTTGGTTTGAACCTGTTCTTACTTAAGCTACCATAGGCCTAGAATGTCAGGGGACACATGACAAATGGAGCTTCTCTTTCTGTTCTCCATCGTTATCACTTTAACGTCTCATCAATACATGTTACTGACTTGACTTCTTCCTCAGAGCAGTGTGCTTATGGTTTGCAGATCCATGACCGCAGCTGCAGCCACATCGAGGATAATGATGGTGGATCACGAATGGACTTTGTGCCTCTTTGTCTGGGGTACTTGAATTAGGTATGAAAGTCCATGAGCGTAAACACTACCTGGCACATGCACACATAGACATCAAAGTCGTAAAGTAATTAAAATGTGGTTATTTGCAAACATTTGTCAATTGGTACTGCAGGTGAATAGAATAAAAAAGACTAAAATCTCAAAATTGAACATGAAAAAAGTATCTTTTTGCCTGTAGTGTCCTGCATTAAACAGCAACTGCATAATTTTGATTGCAGGCTACTCATCTAATAATTATTCATTCTATTAGTTTGTTGTTTACCGATAGATCTTTATAAATACATGATACAGACAGCCCACCCTCAAATGAGAAAAGAGGGAATAGTAGGTACACTGAAACCAAGTCTTTGTCACCATCAGTTAGTGTGTGATTAGTGTAATAATAATAATGATAATAATAATAACGATAATAATAATAATGTATTGGATTATTGATGTATTCAGGCAATTCAGTCTTGTTACCTGGCTATAAAAGCTGAAGGTTATCTTGTGAAACAAAAGTAATTAAATCATTAATTAGTAAGCACTTTCCCTATTTATTTGGTTTTGTTTTTTCAGTACAGTGGAAAAAGAATAGAAGAAGAGAGAAGAATTAAATAAGCCCAACTGTTCCAACTAAACATAGGCCTACATGATGTTTTGAGTTGGATGGGTAGTATGGTTTGCTTATTTATGTAGTTCCTGGACCCACAATGCAGAAACAATGTAACATTAATAAGAAAATAAAAAAAAATTGAATTTGAAATAAACAAGGTTGGAAAACAGGAAAAGTCAGCTGTTTCCTTCACACAGATGTGTCCTTGCCATAGAGGTAACTGTATATAAAGCTGCGGTGCTCCGGCTGGAGGCAGTAGTCAATGATCATCTCAATGTCCTGGCAGCGTTTCTTGAATCGCATGCGGTCAAAGGCCGCCTTCAGCCAGGGACCCCGGCGATCCTCCTCATAACTGAGGAAGCACACCTCCACATATTCAGAGAATTGAACCTGACAGTGAAAAGAGGAGGAAGAGGAAGTGAAAGAACAGAAACTATTAGTTTATTGATCATTCGATCAGTAATGACACTATGAATAACATTTTTTTTCTGTTTCCTGTCAATAAACATTAAAACCTTCTATCGATTTTAATAAAAAGACAATGAATGAAAACCACAGGAAGAGGTGAAACTGACACAAGAGACACTGACCTTTTTGGTTGAAACACAACTCTTGGCCATGGAGGAAGAAGAGGTTGAAGTGGAGGGGGTCGGGGTGGAGGCCTTGTCCTTGCATCCAAATGAAGATGATGGAGAGGCCTTGTCTGGCCCTTGAATCCTGAGTGGGAATTGAGGGTTAAGTGGGTTGGAGGGATCTGAGGAGCAGCTGAATGAGTTCAACAAAGAGACGCTCTCAGCATCCGTTTCCTCGCTGTCCTCCCTGACACAAAAGCTGTCCACTGTCTGGCACCAAGACTTCGACAGGCAATCAGAGTCAGAGTTAACCTTGCTGTTTGAGTCAGATCCCTCGTCATCAGCTTGGCTCAGAACAAACACATCAGCTGTTGCTGCAGTGGGGTTTTTTGTCCCAGATAGCTCTGGACATAGTGGGTTTGCTCTCATCCAGTCTTCAGCCAAGGACAATTTTGAGCTTTCTTTACTGTTGAGGTCAGCTGGCGTGACCCAAAGCCTGGTTGGAGAGACAAGGCTCTGTCCGCCGGATACACATCTGTCATCAGTCATATTTGTAAGTGCTTGGTGAAAAATGATTTTCAACTGCAAAATACTATGTTGGTTCTCCTACAGGTTCCTTTACTCCTTTGAAGTTTGGTGTACTTGCAGGTGAACCTTTATATACATTTAACATTTGCCTTTAGACCAATTGCTTTGATCACACAATGAAAGATTATTGTGATGTTAAATTGCCAAGATCAAAGGCATGTCACCATTCTAGAAGCCTATATCTATAGCAACAGAAAAAGCTAAATATTTCAAAAAGTCTCGATACTGATAACCAGATGTAGTATGTAGGGCTGGGTCAAAAATCTCCAGACCCAATTTTCTTGATATTTTCTGAAGTTCATGTCTGAAAACAACTCTTTTAAATCAAGTTTGGCAACAGCTGTTTTTGGGAGTACACAAAGAAATAGTTTTCTCTGTTTTGGTGTGGTCTTCTTTTAGTGGCTTTCTCGCAGCTTTCAATCATGTTGCACTTCTGCAGATGGAGCCGCAAAGATGTCATAAAACACTTCCTCTGACATGTTGAATCAAAAGCTGAAGAGTGAACTCCATGACGACATGGTATGCTCTGTAGTGGAAAGTCTCTGGAAAGCTCAGAGCTACTGAATGGACCAGGTAAACACTGTCCCCAAGCTCAATTGCTCTCCCATGTTTTATTGAAAAAAAGGCTTTACAAAGTAAGTTGGACAGGCTGCAGCACTTGAGAGTACAATACAGTAAAAATGAAAAGAAAACAGAGTCCAAACAAGAATCCAAAATGTTACAAATATAAATACATACATACAGTACGTACAAACATTCATGGATACAGAATTCAATTTACAGCTTATTATGTACATCTGCTTAAATATTATTCATTCAATCTGCTAATTTCAGTGTAGCACTTGTGAAATACTGTGAATAACCAGCATGTGGTGGTTTTTATTTATTTAGACTAAAGGCAGAGCACAAAGGCACTGGATGTACACCCAGGTGAGAGGAAGCTGTCAATTACTGTCCTGAAGTAAAATGTTATCACACAGCCGCTGTGATCAAATTTCAATTTCTGAGCTCATGGAGAATACTGTTGTGATGATAGTTATGAAGCACTGATAAAAATTCTTTTCTTGTCTGGTTTGACAATATTCATTACAAATCTAGGACATTATTATTATTACCAATAGATTTTGTTTATATACAATGTGATTGTAAGCTACTTTTAAAACTATGCAAACCCCTAATAGCAGCTTTAGTACACAGTATTAAAACAACCCTGAGGTCTGTCCTTTGCATTCTTAAACTTCACAGACTAATTAAACAAACCGGGTTTATAACTTTGGCCCAATGCTTCAATATAGGCTGTTGCTCTACAAATGAGACATCTGTTAATCACAATCTGCTTTTAAGGCTAACCCTTTGCTTATCTGATTTGGTTTTGGATGCATGTTATAGCAGAGCCAATTAGGCTTGGATACTGATCATCCTGTTTAGAAACACTCTGGGACGGCGCCACTGTCCTCTAAACAAGTAGTAGTAGAAAAACTGCATAGCTCTAAAGGGAAACATCGCAGAGAGAGCAATGAAGAAAAGGTTTTAGTACAGCATCTCTCCTGAATGAAAACAGTTGATCCTGCAGTTTGTCGCCAAGGCGAAAGAAAAAAGTGCAATGCTACCTAGCATGACTCTGCAGAACACCCCAACCTGACATGCTGACCATTAATCTGTGCTGCTGCGTTACATTCTCAGAAACACTGCTGCTGTATTTACTATTTCGGCCCTCCCAGACCGTCGACTCCACCTCTGGGTCCTTTTGAAGGAGAAGTGAGAGGATGTAAAGTACCAAGTTCATAGGTCAGCCCTGGTCGGCTGATGTCCCACTGATGGCGCGAAAAACATGGAGAGAGTTTTGTAACAGTGAGCGCATCATGTCCTCCTGGTAGATCTGGGGTCAGAGCAGAACATCGACAGGATGAGGGTCAGTTCTCGCACAAAGACAAAGGTCACACACATGTCCATGACATCAGAGGACATAGCACTCACCTTATATATACCCAACCTTAGCCTTAAACCTAACCAAGCCCAAACCTTATACTAACTTTAGGCTAAAACTAACCAAAACCTAACCTTATACTAAACCCTAAACTTAACCCAACTTTAAACTAACCTTAACCTAAACTAACTATGACATAACCCCTAAACCCTAACCCAACTGTAACCAAACCTTGACCTCAACCCTAACTATAACCCTAAACCTAATCCTACAGGACACACACACACACACACAAAGTCAAATCAGCTACATTTCACACTCGATAGGATGATGGAATTTGACACGATGAGGTTCAACACATAAGCTGAACAATGAAAAAAAAAAAAGATGAAACACATAAAACAAAGCTATTAATTGTACAATTCACTAGTAACAAACTAGCTAGTGTGTTTTTTAAATTCTCATAATGGTCTTTGTTGCAGCCTGATTTGTTTATAAGAGCATGTCATTAAACACCATATAATACATTTGAAGGGATTTTCTTTTGCACGTTATTACGTTACATCAATATTGTCTGCACTGGCTACCCACCAAACTCAGGATTCATTTGAAGGTTTTATTGCTCGTTTTTCAAACGTTGGGCTAGCACCACTTAATTTAACTGTTGCATCTTCATACTCCATCCCGAGCGCTAATGTCAACCATCCTGATGTTTCTGGATCCCCCGAGATCTTGGCTCAAAAATAGACGTGACCAGGCATGTCTAAACTCTGGAACAGCTCAACTTCTTCCCTCCTGCTTTCAATTTAAGTTGAGTTTTAGACCTTGATTTCATCTGTTATTGTGCTACATTTTAATTAGTTTGTTTAATTGCTTTTATTTTTCCTATTCATTCAGTTTTTTATATAGTATTATTTTCCTTTTAAGCTTGAATGTTAAAGAAACCTTGGCTCCCTTTACAAAAAAACATGCCCATCCATGTTACACTCAGACTCAATCTAAAATATATATGATACATGATGATTTTCAGAATCAGAATCAGAAGTACTTTATTAATCCCCGTAGGGAAATTCAAAAATTTTAAGTATTTCTATACCGGTTCTTTAATTTTGTGTATCCAGATGAATCAACTTTATCATTTAACTGAAACATGTATGAAAGAAATTGACCATAGGGTTTCTGCAACACTGTTTTCCCCTTTATGTCCCAATTGCCATCCATCAATTAAGTTGTCTAATAAAGAAAGATAAAAGAGTGTGTCTGTTATCCTCGCAGGTATGTAACAAACACAACCTTTCATCGGACAGAATTAAATGAATCTCTGTCTGTCACTGATTAACCTGCCTGCATGCACCATGCCCACGGATGACCAAGCCCTTAGCCAACAGACGACAGCCGGAAGTTAGGGAGCAAATGACCTTGTAGCAGTTGTCAGGCAGTGCACGTTCATGTGTTTTGGGGCATAGCTTTGACCAGAGCGCGGACTGGAGGGGATGGAGTGTATCGGTTACATTTTTTCAAAGTATGACCTGTTCTTGCTAACGTCTCCAGGATTACCAACCCTTGCTTTTAACTAAGAAGGTGCAGATTTATAACTTAAATAATAAAAAGAAAAAGAACAAAATGACCTACAAAGGACCATAATTTCAACACACTTAACGATCACATTACCTGTTTTTTCCCCCTTAAAGCTAAAGGTCAGCACATTGGAGAGAAAAAGTCAGACCGGTTAGTGTAATGGAATCAGCTCAACACTTCCACAATCTGTTTGAGCAATACAGCCATGACTGATTCAAAATATACTGCACCAACTTGTTTGGCAACAGTGAAGTGACTAACAGCAGCCTTAGTCTGGTATGTCATGTGGTGGAAAACAGAATAGAATAGAATGCCTTAATCATTACACAGCTGCACAACAAAATGTAGCACGTCTCCCTGAGTGGTACATACGATCCATATAAAACAACATGCAGCACAATCAGCACATAGATAAAAAACGTTCAGAGGAAGGCAAAACCACTGTGTCTGTTGCCATCTTTTTCTCAACCATGTCACACAACAGCTAAACTAACCCCTTCTTCCTTGTTTTTTAGCATTACAAAATCAACAAAGCTTTATTGTGCAGGTCTGCTCATTATCAGTGTTAAACAATATGCATCAAGAAGTATCAGCAAGTTCATAACATAATAAGCGGGGTTAATGCAGCGATAACAGCTCTGTAATGTGTAATGTAATTTGCCCTTCCACCCCATTCTGGTCATTTGTATCCACAGCACTGTGACGCCAAGGTAATTATGGGTACAATGAAGTTAAAAATATTTATTTAACATTTAGGCATGACTCAACAAATAATTATACTCCAGCTGTTATATTTCTCAACCTTTCGTCATAGCTTTACACAAAGGTTAACTGTCATGGATGGTTGAGTAACAACCATCCATGACAGCGGGTTCTGCTGAAATTTTACTCATAGACTGTAACTCTACAAAACAAGTCTGTAGAGTCATTTGTTATGACAAAAATAACCATCAAAATACTTTTTGGTGTAAAGAAAAATAAGATTACCTGTTCGTGGATGATGTCCGACAGCTCCTTCACCATATCCTTAAAGTTGCCCTTCAGGCCCTCATGGTACTCAAACTGATCCTCTTTAATCAGCCGCTCGTTGATGTCCAGAGCAATGCTGCAAGCTTCCACGAAGCGTCTGCAAGTATTAAAAATAAAATGCACTTGACTCGACAAGAAACTTAAGGAAATGGCTGCTTATGAGAAAAGAGGATGATCTTGAAATCTATTATACACACAATAATGGAAATGAGAAGAAGGGTACCTGAAAATGTCCTTAAGGTCTTTTACTTTTTTGTTCCCAGACTGATTCATTTTACTGTCATCAAGGAATGCTCTGGCATAGGCCATAGGACCTGCATTCACCTGCAACAAAAATAAAATGTTAGGCATTCCTGTGCAAAAAAAACTAATAAACAGCACGGTTGACATGCCGCAGGGAGATTTTATTTTTAATGATGTAACATAGCTCAGACCTGCACAGACAC